GTGATTGGTCAAAATGCTGCGATTATGCAACGGAAGGGCCATAACACTCCTTGAAGGGGGAATTTGCAAAAGGCGTCATGGCTTGGGTACCTTTCTGCAAAATACGCAGATTTCTGCGAAACACGTCATGAATACGTCATGAACTCTTGTGAGCCCGCAAATTCCTCAAAATGAGTACACCATATATAACACTATTTCATAAACATGTAATAGAATTACTGTTTCGTTGTTGGCGTGCTATCTTTCAAGCGTCGGGAGCAGGCTATCGCTTGGACCCAGCACCGTCTCAAGGTTACGCCGCATGGCCAAGATCTTCTCGACGAAGCCAACAACGCGTCGGACGCATTTACCTGCAAGCGCGCGCTCGCCGATGTGGTCTACATGTCCGCTCCGAGAAATCTCTGGCGCGTCGACATAGTCAAGTTTACGTGCACTTGCGCGCACAAGGTGCAGTACCGCACCCCATGTTGCCACTTGGTAGCGGCCCTCAAGTGCGTTGCCAGCTACATCAAGATCTGTGAAGCGTTTGGTGACGAGTACAAGGTGGCGACGAACTTTGCGGCCACAGTAGGCCGCAAAGTTTAGTCGATGGCCCATCGACTACGAAGAAAATGTCGCCCCAAAATGCTCCCGTCGACGCGTCAAGAAGCGCAAGTGAGGCCCCAGTGGCGTGGCACGTAAGCGTAGCAAGGGAGAATAGTTACCTTCACCACTACACTGGTGCATCTCTCCAAATACATAAGTTCATTCCCCTTCTATGTGTGCATCCATTCCACTTGACGTGCGACAGCAATGCGCATGCTGGACGACTTGTAAAAAATCGTCAAGTGCATTGCGATCGACTTGCCAGGTGGGCTCACAAGAGTTCATGACGTATTCATGACGTGTTTCGCAGAAATCTGCGTATTTTGCAGAAAGGTACCCAAGCCATGACGCCTTTTGCAAATTCCCCCTCCTTGAAGTTGCCAATGTGAGGTGATGACCCTCGAGTCGGCAGAATGTATAGGAATACCGCACGCAGAGTATTCATGGATTAGTGCCTACAAGAGCAATGTGGTCGATCGCAATGCCCGGTCTTACAGTGCTGTAGTTCAAAGATCGCAAGCGGCTTCCTACGACGGCACTCGACAAGCAAGTACGTCGACATCCCAGAAGTAAAGCTCACGACCACCAAGCGACTTGATACTCATGGCCACAACAGCATAAAGAATACGATCCCGTGCGTTCCCACTGCATGACATTGCCTGGATTCAACAGCGGGTGCGAGAGAGGAGGGGCTGGATACCCTTGGCTTTTCAGTAGATAGTCATTCTGTACTGCCTTTAGGTCAGAGATCGTCAACTTGCATAAAGACGCATCGAGGACGCTAGAAGAACTGTGTTTGCTGAGAGCGGACGGGAAGCGGGGCTGGCGAAAGACGAATCATGCGAGTGAAAGGTGGACCATGGGAGAGTTATTGAAAGAGTGTTAAATTGGTTAAAAATGGCGTCAGGGACGCAGAATTAATGCAGCGCGATGCCAGCGATGCTGTTGCCGACGAGCACGAGCGTGCCAAAGACGCCAGCCATCCACGCGTACGCACGGTGGGGCTGGAGGCTGTTCGCATACGCAAACGTGTGCGCAACGCGGCCGACAGTGAAAATGACGATCGCCACGCTGTTCACGAGGGGGTTGCCACCCGAGTTGACGGCGGCCCACGCCGAGAGGAGGCCGATCGGGATGTTTTCGAGGTCGTTGCGCACGAGGCGCTCCCAGCGAAGGTCGGCTTCAATGGCGCGGTCCGACGGCGTCAGGTTCAATGGCTTCTTCGTCTTGCTGTCGTCGTCCGTCTTGGCTTCGGCTTCGTGGCGCACGCCAAAGCTCTGCTTCTGGTTCTTCGGGTTCAAGTTGGTCAGGATCTGGTCCTCCGGCGGGCGCGTGCCTGCCGCGAAGCGCTTCCCGCCCTGAATCATCGTCGAGATGTAGAACTTGACCGTGAGGATCGCCGAGCACGCGATGAGCACCTTCGTGTCGTTGACCGATGCAAGCAATGCTGCCATGTTGCTTAAGTCGAAAGAAGTGGAATGAGCTGACGTTGCGTGGCGCCACCGGCGGTTGACGCATCGCCGAGGATTTCCGTGGAACAAAGACAGGTATATCCGGATGACGCGACCGGATACGCTACATACAAAGCGAAAGATACTGGTGTGATTACCACCAAATGGCGATTAGCTCACGTGTTGAGTCCAAAAGCTGAGCTGCCTAAACGAGCGCCGCGAACACTCGGAGGACACGCGAGACTTCTATGTGCTCGGCGCGCTGCGAAGCGAGCTCTCGACGTGCGCATTGACGGCACGGACGTGTAACGTCATCACATCATCCGCCTTCGACCTCGTTGCAATGCACGCAATAATGAGAGCGTGCGAGCCAACGTATCTCTTTCCGTGATATACCACGTCATACGCATTGGTGCAAGGCCCTTTTACACCTATTCTGACACTGCGCGTCACTTGGAGCGTCGCGTCATGGGTCTCGGCGACACTGTGCGCACCAGTTCTGTAGAGTGCAAGGAAGCTTGGCGTTGTACACCGCTGTGCGGGATAATGTACGACATGGTTTACCCAGAGTAAACCCCCAGTTAACCCCAGGGACATTCCGCAGGTGGATCAAGCTTTGCCACCGCGCCACAACCGACGTGCTCCAACGCACCACAACAAACACATTATCCGTACATATACGGATAATGCGAGAGTTGGCAACGATTCGATTCGATTGGCGATGGTCCACGTCAAGGTCGTGCTGCTCTGCAAAGGCCGTGGCGGTGACGCGGCGTCGTACCAGCCCCACCGAGACGAGAGCCAGTGGTGGAATCGGCGTGACGCGCTCGTTCGGTGCGTCTCGGCCTTTCTGCATGGCCCTTCCAGCGCCTACTGCACCAGCCGCGAGCTCGTGCTCGTGCACGACGAGGACTGGGCGCGCATGCACGTGACCAAAGGCGACGCGACGCCGTCCGAGTTTAACGTTATCAGCGCGTGGCGCGATACGGCACAGCACGCGACGTCAGCGCCCAGCGCCGTCGCGTGCAAGCTTGTCCAGAGCGCGCTGCCCATCGCGGGTGCCGACACGGTCGCGGCCATGGAGAGCAAGCGCGAAGTGCTCGAGCATCTGCAAAAGCACTGCGACATGGACTTTCTGCGCGGCCACCGCCTCAACAGCAAGCCCGACGTCGTCTTGCGCAAGACCAACAAGCAGGCGCTGCTGCGCGTCTGGGACGAGTGGACTGCAACCCATGGCACGACCGCCGCCTCCAAAAAAGACGTTGTGAAAGCCATTTTCCACGAGATGCTGCAGCCATGCGACGCTTCGATCAAGCGCGTGATCGCGGCCACGCTGCATGAGTCAAGCGATGCCGAGCTGCCATGCTTCAACACTGACTTGGTGCCCGCCGACGACCCCAGCCTCCAGATTGTGCTCTTCCTCGGCGCCGTCCGGGACATGACGCCGACTGAAAACAACATACTTCAGCAGCTCTGCACCACGCAGAACATTGCGCTCACGGGTGTCCGGCTTGGCGCAGTGCCCGAGTTTACGAGCAAAATTCTCAGTGTCATTGCGTACCACCAAGCCCGCGGCGTCCTCGGCCCCGCCCTCGAGCGCGCATGCGCCGCAGAGACAGAATCGCCCGCTGCCAAGCGACAAAAAACCACATCAACATCCGATGTCACGTCAGTGCCTGCCCATATGCACGTCGTCGCGGCCGTGCCCATGGCGTCATCCGGGGTCACCACCGACCTCGCGTCTCGGTCACAGGCGCTCTGGGCCATGGTGCGCCTCCTCGTCGTGACCTTGTGGCGGTCGCGCATTGCGTCGTCAGGCGCGGTGCCGCTCACAACCGCGCTGACGTTCATCTTTGAAGATGCCGTCGCGCTCACTCTCAAGCAGGACGAGCTCGTGACGGCCCTCGCCGAGCAACACCAGGCCGCGCCGAGCGAGTACCAGATCCTCCGTGCGCTGTGCCAGTACCTTACGGCCGCGACACCTGACGCAGACTTTGCGTCCATGGCGTCGCGCCTTGTGGAAGCATCTACAATCGCGATCGACGTCTCGGCTGCTGCGGGTGAGCGCGGGCTCTACGAGGCGTTCTACACGACAGGAGCAGCTGGCGGTGCCGACGACACCACGCGCCTCCTCGTGCTCGTACCTTTGGCGCCAGCTCTTGCCGGTCACGACGCTGTCGTCGCTGCTTGCGCGCGTGCGAGCGTACCCCTTGTGAGCCAGTCGCTGCTGCCCTCGCGCGAGATGGCGCCGGCGTACGATGCAGAGGCTGCGGCGGTGACCATGCTGCAGCACCTTGTGTATCAGCAGCGCCTTGGATCTGCGTTGGCGTCGCTTGCGCCCAAGAAGCCAAAGAAGGAGAAGAAGGCCAAGAAGGAGAAGAAGACCGAGAAGGACAAGAAAGCCAAGAAGACCAAGAAGGAGGCGATAGATACCACGAGCGCGAAACCGTAGAAGCCTAAGTAGCTAAAATCTTGGCCTTTCGCAGAAAGAAACTGGTTGTGGCTGGACAGGGCGAGGCCGACAGTCGCTTGGTGTCGCACCGCGTCCTGGTCGGGCGAGACCTTTTTCTCGAAAGATCGCACTGTCCAGAGTCCCGCCTTCTACTGCAACGCAAGGATACTCTATAAAAATTAAAATTATCGACCCCAAATAATAGTATCATCTTCAACCGACGACGCCGAGAGCTTATTTGGTCGCCGACTTGGCTTTCACAGTCCGGTCGATGCGCATCTCGAGCGAGGACAAGGTTTCCGTCAGCGAGTTGAGCTGATCCGAGTGGTGGCCGAGCGTCTCAAACATAACGCCCTGCTGCGCCGCGAGCTGCTGCTGCGTCTCTGTCGTGCGAGCGAGGAGGTTCATGAGCATGGCGCCCATGTTGGTCATTTCGCCGTTGTTACTGACCGCCGATGTCGCAAGGGACCGTTCGTCAGTGGCTGCACCAGGCACCGCAGCTACGAGCGCGCTTTCGGTGGGAGGAACTGTGGCCGCGATCGGCGACGAGGCCGGTGCAGGCTTGACGGGCGCAGGCGCCACGGTAGACGTAGGCGCCGAGACTGTCTTTGCCGGGGTCACATCTGCAGACATGCGGCGTTCGGGCTTGGCCGACGGCGAAGGCTCAGCCGCAGGCTGTGCGGACGGCAGGGACGAGCGGTGGGTCGTGGCCGGGGCAGGCGCAAGCGGAACGCCGTCGGGGGACTGCAGGCGTTCGTCAAGGTACTTCATGACCTTCGCGGCGATCTTCTGCAGCAACTTTGTCTCGCAGGCCGAGTGCGTCTTGACATCAAAGACAAAGACGGACCCGATGCAGACGTTGCGACTTGTCACGAGCGGCACGGCGGCGTAAAACTTGACGGACGACGCGCGGGTCACGAGCGGGTTGTTCTTGAAGCGCTCATCCTGGGTCGTGTCGAGCACGACAACGGCGCTTCTTGGGTTCATAATCGTATGTGCACAGAGCGCCACGTCACGCGGAATCGCGGCCTGCGTCAGGCCCGAGTTGGCCTTGAACCACTGCTTGGTGCGGTCAATGAAGCTCACGGCCGAGATCGGGCATTTCATCTCTTTGCACGCAATACGGCAGAGCTTGTTGAAGCGCTCTTCCTGCGGCGTGTCGAGGATCTGGTAGCGCTCGAGCTCCGAGAGGCGCAGCTCTTCGTCCTTGGGCACGGGCGCCCGGGGCCACGGGTGGTCCCAGCTAAAGTCCAGGTCGTATCCATACGAGTTCACCATCGCAAAAGCCAGTCAATTTCGGAAGTGAACAGCAGAGGCTCATGGTTTGCGAGTTTTATATCGAGTTTCAAGGTGCCAGCTGTGTAATGGTATGAGCGGGAGTGACTTACGCTGGAACCTCACCGATCAATTCCCACTTGCCGTTTGTATTCAAATCCACGAATTTTATTTGACGCCCGCGGCCCCAATCCAGACACTGTCTACGGTGGCATTGAGGCTCCAAGAACTGATGGCCGCAGGCTTTTCGCGAAACATCCGGATACCCCGGGGCAGGGAGCGCGGGGTCTTTGCCGCTGCGTTGTAGACACTGGCGACAAGTACCATGGCGGCGCGCCATCCATGACGTGGACCAAGGTCGTATAGTACGCGGCAATCCATAGAGACAAGACTGTCCGAAGAGCAGTCGTGTCGCGGATGATCTCCTGAGAAACGGGTTCGTACGTCCAGTGGATCGGAAATTGTTCGTGTCAAGACTCTGTATTATGACGTCCGGGAGGACGAACGCCAAACGGCAATCTCGCTCATACAGCGCGGCCGGCTCTCTGCGATCAGATCGCGCTCACGCAAGGATGTACGAAGTATGTAGAGCATGTAGAGTGCCCTGCTTCAAACAGGTGGCGCGGCTTGGACTTGCCGCCAGCTGGACAATGAGCGTTTTAGCCCTGTGCGCCGCAGGTCAAGAAGCAGTGTATCATCCAGTGTACTAGTATGTCATCTATAAATACACGATGCAGCCCGGGCACTGGAAGCGTCAACAGCAGCGCGAGTACGCCCAAGGTGCTGACGTCGACGCAAGGTGCCTCTACGATTTGCGTTAGCGCTCGACGACCAAATCAGAGCGCGCGGGGCACCGAGGGCCACTGTGCTGTCGCCGACGAAGCGCGACCCGTTGCACGTCAAGCTTCCGCACTTGTGAGTACTACACGCAACATCCCACTCACGGCATCGAGACGCAAGTGTCATTGAGGTGACGCACGGTGCTACATATAGGCCACTCGTTACCGCGTCCGGCCTTCCGTCGCCCACCACCAAGCTTGACGAGCACGCGTGGTGCGCGCAGCTGCAGAGTGACTTGCGCCAGCAAATGGCTGTGTTGGCCGACGATTTCCAACTGGTATGTACTCGTAGCGTGCGGTGCTGCAAAGAGCCGAGCCTATTAGAGACAGTGCGATTGTCTGCATTAGAAACACGCATTAGTGCTCGAGCGCGTCAGCGCGCTGGAGCGACGGGTCGCTAGCGACCCTGGACGCAACGACGGTGACGACCACATGGCGGTCGCCTTGCAGGCAAGATTGATTTCTTGGATCTTCTTCCTCTCATCTTCGGCTGTAGACGCGCACGCACGTCACCACGCTTCTCCAAAGGCTCCACGAGCGAATGGCGACAATCGAGTCGAAGCTCCCGACGCGCGGGCAGACGGCGGACGACGTCGAGCGCTGGGCTGCCGATGTCGAGCACCGGCTACTAACTACGTTGCGCGACACGCTCCAGTGCCGCGACCGGCTCCAGGACGAGCACCGCGAGACGAACGTCGTCTTGGGTCAGCTCACGACCGAGAGCCTTGCCCGCGTCTACGAGGTGAGCCAGTCTCGGATCCAAGCACTGGAAAGCCAGCTCTTGGTACGTTGTGTCCTTCCATCACCAAAACACCCCCACCTGCAACTAGACGGACCGCCGCGAACGCAGTACGTTCGAAGAGGCTTGCCACATGCAGTGGCAGCAGCTGCACATGGCCGTCGAGCTCATCAAGTCCCAATGCGACGCCTGCGAGAAGACGGAGCATCTCCGGACGGCGAAATGGATGGACGCACAAGCCGTCCGCGCTGCCAACGAGTGGCGGCAATGCCACGCTCACATCGCGCAAGTCTCCGAGTCTGTCGACGTCCACGTGCAGGTAGCACGATCGCTCAGGTGCAGCGCATCGTCATGTACACGACGCAGGCATTGCAAGCGCAATGGCGCGAGCAGGCGAGTCGCACCGAGGTCGTCCTCGCCAATCTGGAAAAAGTTGTCGCAGCGGAGATCCAAAAGCGATCGCGGGATATGGCTGAGCTACAGGCGTCGCGTCAAGCGAGTTTGGAGAAGCTTCATGCGCAGTGGACGGCCGAGGCGGCGACGCGGTGGCAGCCCTATGTGAGTGCCATCTCAAGCCTCGAGACACAAATCAAGGCCCTGGACGCAGCCCATTTCCGCGCAGCGTCGCTAGACGGACGACTGGCCGACCAGCAGCAAGCGTTCGTTCTCGCCCAGCAAGATGCGCTCAGTCGCCTTCAGATGAGCCTGGAGGCGCGTTTATGGCAGGTCGAAGCGCTCGCCAAGGCGTCCTCCCGCGAGACCCAGCAGCTGCAAGTGCAATTGCGAGGTCTTCTGAGCGAAAGGGCGCCAAACTGCTTCGACCAAGTCTCGTCAACATCAACATGACCGCACGTTGAATTGTTGAAAATTGAATTTACAATTTTAAAAATTGCTGCAAAATTGTGCTAGCTGACGATGCAGACGATGCAGACGATCCAAGATAGCGGCGAGTACGGGTCACTGGGCTCCACTGATGATGCGGAGGACAGCATCGGTATCAAGATCCGAATGTTCGTCAATGATCAACCAAGCCATCGCGTATGAGACCTCTGCGTTGACGCAACCGACTAGCACGTGTCATCCATGCTGACGCGATGTACCGCGAACCTGGCCGAAGGTATCGTCCTATCGTCATGTACGTTCTTGGTAGTACGAAGCACGAACGCATTGCTTGGTGATCTCGTGCTGGACACGACGGACGATCTACGATTAGTAGCTAGCTCGGTGACCTAGCTCCAGCTCGTACTGTAGTCGAGAGTGTTGGATGGCGGCGAGGTGCCGACGACCTCTCGCAAGCCATCGTGTCCACGGGCCATAAACAAACACCGCGTCCCGCTTGCCCCTTCGGGTCGCGTGCCACGTCATGGCGTGACGTCCAGCGCCGGATACGCAATCCACCAATCGGGCGCCGGCCTCCGGTATCCGGCTGGATCCGTTTTCTCGCACAACCAAATTAGCATGCGACTTGGCGCAGGCGTCTTCGACATCACGGGCCCGGCGGCCGAGGTCGGCATGTTCGGCTACGCCAACCCGCAGCAGCTCACGACGGGCTTGCACATGCGGCTGCGCGCCCGGGCCTTTGTCTTTGAGGAAGAAGACGGCCCAGCCTTCGCCTTTGTCAGCGTCGACACGGGCTGCATCACCGAGTCCGTCTCGCGCGCCGTCGCCCCGCGCCTCGACGCTCACGCGACGATTCCCAAGGGCATCTTCTCAACGGCCAACGTGCTGCTTAGCGCAACGCACACGCACTGCGCGCCGGGCGGCCTGTCGGAATTTCTCATCTACAGCATGCACCCGCCCTTGAAGGGCTTTGACAAGCAAGTAATGCCATCCTCTCGATGCGATACGTGCGTGACGATGACTCTTAGAACTTTGAATGCATCGTGGGCGGCATCGTCGAGGCCATTGCGCGGGCGTACGCCAACCGCCAGCCCGGCGTCCTTCGTGTGGCCAAGGGCACCTGCCTCGGCGCGTCCGTGAACCGGTCCATCGATGCGTACAACGCCAACCCAGCAGCTGAGCGCGCGCTGTACGAGCACGACACGGACAAGGAGATGGTTCTCTGGCGTCTCGACGGCCTCGACGGGTTCCCGATCGGCATGATCAACTGGTACGAGCTTCCTCTTTGCTTGCATTGTCGACGTCGCCGGGACTGTAGGTTTGCAGTGCATCCGACCAGCATGGGAAGCTGGTTCACGCTCATCACCGGCGACAACAAGGTACAATGTCTTTCGAGAACGCATCTAAAGCGCTTTCTAGGGGTATGCGGCGCACGCGTTTGAGCGCGAGCACGGCAACAACCACTTGCTCGACCGACCGCGCAGCTTCGTCGCCGCCTTTGCCCAGAGCAACGAAGGCGACGTGAGCCCCAACATCTGCGGCCCGCGACACTGCGGCAACCAAACACAGGACTTTTCGCGCATGGTGCAAGTGGCCGAGGCGCAGCTCGCGACCGCGCGTCGGCTGTATGTCGAGGCCGCGTCGAGCCCGGCCATCGCCGGCTCCATCAAGTGCGTGCATCAGTACGTCGACTACAACGCGATTCCGCTCTCCGCCAAGTGGCACCAGTACAAGGAGTGCGCGCCGACGACGTCCCCCGGCTGCATTGGTGTCTCGATGCTCAGCGGCACGACCTTTGACGGCCGCGGCATCGCCATGATCCCCGAAGGCCTCACGTGGAGCAGCGACAAGCACTGGCTCACGCTCGTGCCGCAGACGCAAGCCGAGCAAAAGGAGAAGGTCATCGCCTTTCCAACCGCATCCTACGGCCTCTCCCCGTCCGTGCTGCCGCTGCAACTCGTCTCCATCGGCGACGCGCTCGCCCTCGCCGCTGTGCCGTTCGAGTTGACGACGATGGCCGGCCGCCGACTCCGGGCCACCCTCCGCGACGCATTGCCGGGCCACGACGTTGTCGTCGCTGGTCTTGCCAACGACTACTGCGGCTACATGACGACGCGCGAAGAGTACGCTGTCCAGCGCTACGAAGGAGCGTCGACCCACTTTGGGCCGAATCAGCTCGTCGCGACGCAGCAGCAGTTTGAGGTGCTCGCAGGCGCGCTTCTGCAGCGCAAAGCGCCGCCGACGTGTCCAGCTCCGGCGCATGGCTTCGTGACGACGACGCACTGGCACACACCGGTCGTCCAAGACTCGGTGCCAACCGGGTGCTCGTTTGGGGATCTTGTCTCGGATGTCCTTGACAGTGTGTACTACCCCGGTGACACAGTGCGCGCCACGTTTCACGCAGGGCACCCGAAGAACAATCTGCGCACGCAAAGCACATTCCTTGAAGTCCACCGGTGGCGCGACGACCTCGGCGTATGGATCCTCGTGGCCGACGACAGCAGTGCCGACACGTTCTTCCGCTGGGCTCGTGTCGGTGTTTCGACGTCGCACGCGACCATCGAGTGGGTGGTGCCACCCGGGACACCGCCGGGGACGTACCGCTTAAAACACCACGGCGACTGCAAGCCCTCGTGGAGCCAAAAGGCGATTCTGTCATACGAAGGCTTCTCGAGTCCCTTTGGCGTGCAGCTGCGACCGACGACGCCGCTCCTCGTCGTGGCACCCGCCACGAAAGAAGCCGCCATCTCAACACCCAAAACAACACGCCTCATCGGCGGGGTCGCGTCACCGACGGCAGCCACGTCCAGCATCATCGGGTCGCCGATGCTGCTCAAGAAGCGCCGCACGACCATCCTGCTCGAGTCGGATATCACCAGACGAAATACCAGCATGTAGCCAAAGACTAGTAGTGCTACTACACGATGAGATCAAACTTGCTAAATCGCATTTTAAGAGTCCACGAAAGGGTCTGATGAGGGTTTGGTGTCGGGTGGGCAGAATGTGGAAATATGCAGGGAGGAGGTAGCCCGTTTCATCGCCCAAGGTCCTATTTTAGCTGCTCGAGATGCCCCCGGCTGACGCCACCGAGTTGGAGGCGGCGATTGAGAGCGCTGCAAACAATGCTGTCACCGACGACACCGTCGCCGTCGATGCGAATGATATGACCGACGAGAACCAGCAACGCATCAAAGCCTTTCCGCTAGTCGTGGACCCCGCGTGGGACGGCGCGGCCTTCACCTCGATGATGCAAACCGACTTGCTTACGTACTCGCTCTCGCTCTCGGTCGCGCCTCTTGCCAAGGCCATCGAGGCCATGGGTAATTCGCACCATACCAGCCGTCCTGTATCTGCTCGGTAGGCGCTTCGCTCCAGAAACACGACGACACGCTACTGCAGCTACTGCAGTACTGCCGCCACCTCGAGACAGAAAACCAAAACGTACGTTGTCTTGAGCGGCAAATTCTCATGCGCGGTGTAGCTGGTGCAGTCTGCGGAAGCGTCCAAGCAGGAGCTCCTGAGTCACATTGGTGACGTGACCCAAGGCGTGCGCGACGAGCTCCTCGGGCACATGCAGCCGCTGGCAACCAAGACCGAGGCGTTGACCGACGACTTGACGGCCGCCATAGCGACCATTGCGGACCTCGCAGCCCAAATGCATATCAAAGCCACGGAAGTCACGCCGTCGCTGCCCCCAATCGACCCGGCGATGCCGCAGCTCGAGCGCATGAAGATGATCGAAGACCGCCTGCGGGAGTGCGTGACAATGCACGGTTTGGACCAGCTCCGCGACGATCTGAGCGCCATGTTGCCGTCGACCAGCGGGCTCGCCTCAGCAAATGAGCTCTCAGCGCTCAAGGACGAGGTGGAAGCGTCGCTCCAGAAACAAGCGCTGGCGCTCCAGGAGCAGCTCGCGGCGCTGCAGACGAGCATTGAGGACGCTGGGAAAGCGGCAAAAGCACCGGCACCGCACCTCCATGAACTCAAGCGTGCGCAGAGCTACAACACGGCGCTGAAACCCAGCACGCTCGGCAGTGTGACGCCACCCGTCTCAGCCGCGCCACCGCCACCCGTGGACCTCACCGAGGTGCACCAACGCCTCAACCAAGAGGAAGAGCTCTTGGAGGCGCTCCGGCAGCAGTACGAAGCGTTGCAAGAGGCCCTTCAGAGCCACGCCGACGACGTGGCTGAGGTTGGTGTTGCGTCGATGGCGTGTTGGCGCCTTATCATCTATACCGTAGCTCAAGCTGCAGGTGGCCATGACACCCACGGCCGAGCTCTGTACTGCGTTTTGCTATCGACAATCAACTAATACGTGTCCATAGATGCGCCCCGCACCATGGCGCCCGCCATGACGACAGCGCCCGTGACGAGCGACGTTGTTGACAACGAGATGCAATTGCACCGAAGTCTCCTCGACGCCCTCGGGCGCGAAATGACGGACGCACGCACCAAGCACGAGCACGTGGTTCTGCAGCTGCGACGCCTCGATCCGCTGGAGAAACAAGTTCGGGACCTCGAGGCCGCGCAGCTGATGCTGCAAGGCGACTCGGACGCACATAAAGTACGTGTCTACATGACGCACCGTCGTCATTGCGTCGTAGGCCGGAGCCCATGCGCTTCAAACGGAGCTTCGCAAAGTCGCCAACGACTTTCGCGCGTTCCAAGATAACCAAGTACCGCGCTTCCGACGCATCAACGTAGAGTTTCACGGTCGATGTAGAGCTTGATGCAAAGCTTCTCGGCAGCCACGAAATCGGGCGACGGCGGCGCGGACTTTAGCCAAGTGCTTGGTCGGCTCGCAGAGATGCGCGCGGCGCAGGACGCTGCCATGGACGACGTCCGCAGCCGCATGGATACGATTTCCGACGACAATGGCGTGACGCAGCAGTGGGTGCACCGGCTCCAGAACGACGCCAAGTACCTCTTGGAAAAGAACGAGAAGCACGGCGCGCACATCGCCGACTGGATCGAACGCGACGACGACGATCGGCAAATGGCGCTCCGACACATTGAGACAGCGCTTCTCAAAGAAAAGGAAGGACTTCAGCGCGCGCTCCAAGCGCAAGAGCGGCTCGGGATCGGGTTCGTCGACTTGCACCAGCACGCGCTCGCGTTGCGCAAAGACCTCGAGCGACTGGGTACATCCGCCTTTCCTATTTCTATATTTTGAGCTCAGTGTGTACCAGGCGCGGCCGAGGTGCTCTCAGTCAAGCTGCCCGAGATCCAAGGGCTCCACACTGCATTTGAGCACCTCCTTGTGCAAGTGCCACCGCTCATCGCTATGCCCGCGCTGCTCAAAGACTCGTTGGCGCGCCTTGGCAACGACATTGAAGCCGCGCATCTTCCATCGGACGTAGGGTTTGCGGACAACTTGTCCGCTCTACTCTGAGCATGTATAGGACACGACAACGCTCCAAGACAAAGTCACAAGCCTTCTCCAGCTGCTCAATACGCTCGAGCAACACAACACTGACATGACGACGCAGAACGAGCTCGCGAAAAACAATGTATCAATGTATCAAGTTGACGCCGATGCACCCCGTATTAGATGGACGACCTCTTCCAGCTCTGGAACTCCAAGATGCACGTCGATATGCTTCAAAAGTACACGCAGCTCGTTAAGGAGCTGCGGGATATGGCGCGGAACGGCCGGTCCCCCAGTGTGCACCCGTCTTCGGGTCCAGTCCTCGTCGATCTAAACTTGTTGCTGACAGCAAGGATATCGTAGCTAGTTCACCATCCCGGTCGGGTGATGGCCCCGTGGATGCCAAGATGTTTGACACCAAGCTCATTGGGACGAACCGCCGACTGGCCGAGATCGAGGATACGCTCCGCGCGATGAGCCGGAACCTCGTGTCGTACCGGACCGACCTTAGCGACAAGGTCACTGCCAGCAACCTCGCCAAACTCAAAGTACGATACACGTCTTGTCGTATTTGAGTTGTAGAGTCGTGACCTTTAGTTTCAAGTGTTCTCGGAGCTCGCCAAGATCCATGCCGTGCTCGGCTCGGCGCGCTTCAATTCGACGGGCGCGGGCACGACGGTGGTTTGCGACGACGCCGACATCAAGTCCAACCTCGACGCGCAAGCCGAGCTCATTGCCAGTCTCTGCTCCGACCTCAAGCAGGTGCTCCAATATACCGCCCATAATGGTGTTACGTTTCTGCAGTCGCTCTCGGAGAAGCCGTCCGATGACAAGACGGTTCTCTCCCGCCTCGGCCACGACGACGACCAGTTCAGCTCCAAGTTGGAGAGCATCACGGACAAGGTGGCCGAGATGTTTGTCAACCTCGAAGGTCCTGTAAATGACATGCTGTACACACAATATCATCCAACGAGTAGCCAATCGCAACGCGACGCAGCCGCGGCACGCAATCCCGACGTACAACCCCGCGCAGATGCTCGACAGTTTTGCCCAAAACATCGAAGCCAAGCTCGCCGAGTCCCAAAACCTCACGAAACTGGTGCACTTGTTGTATCGACCTGTCCACGTTTCAACGGGGTGGTAGCAAATCGAGAGCATCAAGAACGAACTCAACGACGTAATTCGCTTCCGCGTGGCCAAAGCTCTCGAGTCAATTCGAGAGAACCTCCCGATCGGCGAAGAAACCACGGCGGGTACAATCTTTATGCACTAAAAGCGCGCCAACGTGGGCGTAGGCGGGAGCAAACCGGTCATTTGCATTGCGTGCAGTCGCCCCGTGCGCGTCGAGCCCCATGTTCATGGTCCCAACCCTCACAGAGTCTCTGTGGCATTTACCACATGATTTAGAAACCGTCCATGATCGGCTGCCGATGGAGCCGATTCTCAAAGTCCCCCACGACCCCGTCTTGGTATGTGTTGCTGTCTTCTGCGTCTCTTATCGGCTTCTTAGGAAGCGCTGACGGACCAAATGGGCGACGACTACCACGTCTACCGCGCAGGGTTTCGAATGCCGCAGCACGAAAAGTACATGTATCCTACGCATATTCTTGAGCTATATAACGTTGCGGCTAGGCGGGCGGGGCCAGGCAAGAGTGTGCTCCCGCTATTATCGTCCAACCCATCGTCGCCGACTTCCCCAGTCAAGCGCGTCAAGAAGAAGACGCACGAGGCGGCACCGAGTTAGTTGCGATAACGAGCAAAGTGTGGTCATTGTGTTGCTGATGTGATCCGTTCAACGTTGTCGATGGCACGACACCGCAATAAGATCTGGTATTTCCATGACGCCAGTGCCCCTACGTACGCCTCGAAAGCTTAGACTTTGACGAATGGCTCGTGGTCGCGTCTGGACTTTTGCCCATGCCAAGATTGTACTTGCTTGTCCAGCTGCGACGTCGGGGCTGTTGTTAAAGTCGTGATGGCGTTTCGTGCTCGACTAGGAACGACGCTCAATTTAGTTGAAAAACGTCCGAGTAAGTAGTGTGCATGGCCTACCCTTTGGACGCCGATGGCGGCGGCAAGTGGAATGGCGACGCGTTTGCATCGAGCCTGGGAGCCGACTTGCTGACGTTCTCCGTGGCGCCGCTCACGCACGTCATGAAGACAGTCGGCTCGACGCTGCAGCAACACGACACGCTCTTGGACGAACTCGCAGCTGCGCTTGCCAAGCTCCAGCACCTCCAGCAGGAGGTACCCATCACAATATTACGTGCGACGTAAAAATCGGGCATTGGACATAGACAAACCAAACACTCGTTCAAGTAAAAGCCAACGACCCGAGCGCGATTCGTGACGAAGTCCTCGAGATGGTCGACGGCCTCCAAAAGCGTATCGAGAGCTCCGAAGCCGACATTGCGCAGGCGGCCGCGCTCAGCAACGCGCTCGGCGGGAAAGTTGCCATCATTGAAGAGCACGAGGCCAAGCTGGACGGCGTCGAAGCCAACGTCCAGGACCTCGCATCCAAAGTCGATCACATGTCGGCGCGCATGAGCGACTTTTTACTCCCGAACGCACTCGAAGGTCTCAAAGCCCAGATTCTTGACGAGCTCCAAGACGAGATTCTCGCACACATCCGGGCAGAAATTGGCGCACGGAGATCGTCCAAGCCGGCACCCTCCTTGGGGTCCAACGGCTCGGATCTCCACACCGAAGAGAGTACAAATGACGCGAGCGCCAGCACCATGGAGGCTACCACGCTCGGCAACATCCCAGACAACGAGAGTGACGACGATGACGATGAGGTTGAAGTCGAAAACAATGCCAGCAGCAACGAAGGGTCTCAGGGTACTGACGACAGTGTCAAGGCAACCGAGCAGACATCAGTGCACGTGGCACCAGCGAAACAAGAACTCGAGACCTCGGACATGGCCACGACCTTGGTCCCCGCGGCGACGCGTCACGGATCCCGTCGGGCCACGGGGGTGCGCTTGTCCTTGAAAACGGGGCCGGCGACAGATGAGCTCGAGACGCAGCTTCGGGAGCTCAACGCCCGCGTCGCCCGCGCCGAGCGCGATCGCGAGGACGTGCTGGAACGAATGGCGCAGCTGCAGCAGTCGGTGACGCACGAGTTGCGCGAGGTGAGCGGGCGCCCGCCGACGTTTGCCTCGCCGGCGGTTTTGGAGCCCAAGGCACCCACCGAGCGTATGTTATTATGACTCGTGTTGCTTCTAACGGGATGTATAGTCGTCAATGCAGCGTACGAGACGGCGTTGGAGACGCAGCTGGCCAAGATTATGGAGCTGACCAAGCAGTTACAAGCGCTGCAGGGCAGTGTATCGACTAACGCGGAGGGTGTGGATGCCAACAAAGTACGAAGGCCTCTACCTAGCGGTAGGGTGGGTTCATAAATAGAGCGTAGACTGCCATCAAGGCAACCCAAGACGACTTGCGCAAGCTTCGTCGCCAAGTAGATGAATTTCAGGAAACCCAGGTGCCGACCGCCAAGTTGGCTACAACTCATGCCATGCGTAGCAACTCATGCAAAGCTTTGCCCCAGCATCCTCGTCGTCGACGTCGTCGGGCGAGCCGTCCGGAACGTCCGCCGTCGGTGGTGGCCCCGACCTCTCGATGGTGTTTGCCAAGCTCGCCGAAATGCGTCAAGCCCAGGTCGCTGCCTCAGAAGAGCTGCGCGAGGCCCTCGACACGGTGGTGGAGAAGAGCGCCGACCAAGGCCGGGAGATGCACAAGTGGGTCGAAGCCGTCCAGAGACTGGGGGCTGCCAGCGTCGGGCACGTTGACGCCGAGGCGCGAAAACTCAAGGAAACCCTCCAGCGCCAACTGCACCAACAAGCCGAGCTCATATCGAGTGTAAACGAATGGCTACCCCTCGGCCACGACATCCACCACGATCTGCACCACCCCGGTACGACGATGTTTATCCTACGGATTATATCACGAGTGGTGCAGACGGCCGAAGCCCCGCGAGCCGCATTGCAGAGTTGCAAAATCTCGCGCGGCAGTACCACTTGATCGCGCCGGCAGTCATGACGCTCGTGGCCGCCCCCGGCGCGCACCAAACGACGCTCTTACGACTGCGACATGCGCTTGTGGACGCTCCCGACGGCGCGGAGAAAATCGCGACGTCCGATTTACTTCAAGCAGCGACGCACGATGTGTCGGCACTCGACAAGGCCAACGAGACGCTACTGCGCGCATATGACCAGGCGCGCGTCATGGTGACTCGTCGCGCCTGTCTCATTTCTCATGTATTTGGTGACGTAGATTGACGAGCTATGGAGTGATTGGTACGACAAGCAGCACAGCGATACCCGCCAAATGCAGGACCAGCTCGCAAAAGACGTGGTCGACTTGCGCCAGATACAGCAAGTGCTTGCACGCCCGGCGGCACCGAGCGGCAGCAACGGTATCACTTTCATTTTGCAAGATAGCGGGATAATGTTGGTGCTGTAGTTCCCAAGGAGTCGGAGCGCAAGGCGAGTCATGTCGCGGTTGGCGTGCTCGACAATGCAGGATCGCTGAGCGGACACCACAACGAAGCGCTCAAGAAGATGGAGCAGCTTCTTTTGACGGCTCAGCGCCGCATGGACGGGTTCGAAGACGACCTGCGTGTGCTGAGCCGCAACGTGCTCGCGTACCGCAACGACCTCGCCGACAAGGTCACGGAGGGCCACCTCGCCAAGCTTCGGGTGCCCCAGCATTCATCTCCCACATCCTAAATCCATATATTGTAGTTTCAAATTTACTCGGAGCTCGCCAAGATCCACACCTTCATGGGGTCGTCCAAGTTTTCGGCGCCACCGAAAATGAGTATCGAGCACCTGCCCGTGTACGATGACGCCGACATCAAGGGCACGCTCGACGCCCAGGCCGAGATGATCGCCAAGCTTTGCGCCGAGCTGAAAAAAGTAGGTCGACGTGTAAAGTGGACACCGTGTCCACGCAAGATACGTAGGAAAAAGACGACCGCGAGCGGGAGCTTCGGGACAAGGAAAGCGCGCGCGACCCTGGCACAGACGCAGAGCTCAACAAGATCTCGGCCGAGACCGACCGGTTCAACACGCGCCTCGAGAGCATCACGGAGAAGGTCGCGGAAATGTTCGTATCGTTGGAAGTCAACCGGTCGGCAACGCAGCCGCGGCACACGATTCCCATCTTCAACCCCGCGCAGATGCTCGACTCATTCGCGCAGACGATCGAGGCCAAGCTTGCCGAAACGCAGGACCTCACAAAGAAGGTAGTTTGCGGTCGTTTTTGGCTTCAAACATACGTTCTTAGGACATTGAGCGCATCCGCGCTGAGCTCGGCGACAACGTCCGCGCGCGCGTGCGCCGGGCGATGGAGTCGCTCAAGGATCAGATGCCGTCAGGCTTGGACAGCGCTGCGACGACCGCCGTTGGCACGGTGTGCTGCATTGCGTGCAGTCGCCCCGTGCGCTTTGACGTCTCGACCGGCGGTTCTCTCATGATGGAAATGGTGAAGAAGCTCACGCCTGCTAGATGTGGTCCGCGAGGTTCCGGGTGACATGCTGGGGCTACCCCATCACCACGACGACGAGGTGCGATGACTACTCTGCCCAATGGCTATCTCAAGTGCACAAAGGAAACGGGGGACCGCGACGATCCGGAATTTGTGTACCGCGCGGGCTTTCGAATGCCAGTCAACGACAAGTATATCGTTAGTGTCGCCAAGGTCTAGGGTTAACCGGTGCTACGTAGGAAAAACATTCTGCCGCTGCTCGTTTCGCCGCGGCTACCAGCCAAAGGCCGGCTCGAGAAGCCCAAAGGCAGACGCCTTGTCAAGAAAGATACCAATCGCGTCGACTCGCTACTCCGAGAGGTCATCTCATTCGACAAGTCATGCGTTCTGACCGTGTTTAGGTCGACGAGTTGGATCAGTCGGCGATGACAATGACGGAGCGACCCGCCAAGTCCATCGACAAGAAGGCGATTGAGGCGAGGAGACCCATTGCGCCCGCGCGGCCCTGACGTGTGTAGAATAACAATGACCACCATGACCATCACTGAGCATACCTTGTTGCAGCCCTCTGCCCATCGAGCGTCATCAAGGGTCCGTATACAGTTTATTAACCCTTGTCTTCGTGGACCCTCCAGCATCCCATACGCTTCGAGTGGAGCTGTGCGGCAGCATAAGTTCCCTTGGGCAGCACTAAGTTCTCTGAGGGGCTTACGTGTTCATCGCTTGCAGACTCGATGGCTTATGCAGACAACCGTTTGAAAAGCTGCGATGGGAACAACACTTGCGGCTAGTTTAGTTATATTAGTAAACGGACATCCTACGCTACTAAAATTTCAATATAGGATTCGTCAGGCAGAAATCTCTTGGAACTCATCGATCGAGGTTGTCCCCGATACTCCCATAATATTTAGGTAATCACTCGAATCCGTAGTTCTACTCATTGCTTGGTCGACTACTACACTAGTATGTGCAACGATTATTCTGGACTGACCCAGTTGGAGCGAAATGCTGCCCAGCTGTGGACGCTGGACCAGTCATTCGATTCGAGCGCGCTCATTGGTGGACTTCAAACCGGAAAATTTCCGGAGACGGGCAAGGGCGCGCATTGGCTGAAATCCAACCAATAAGATGCACCTACAAGTCTCGCTAAAGTACGGTTGTCACTTGGGTTGCCGCTAGCAGCTGGATTTGCAAAGCCTTCACAAGCTAAAAACACCCCACTCGTCTGGCGAGCCCCACGTTGGGGTGGTTGCACCGACCCACAAGCACAACTAAAACTGAGCCCCTACCTGTGCGCAAGATAGACACATTCAACCACAGCATCCGAGCAGAAAGGTCCCACCATTACCGTAGGTGGCCCGTCGTCGAGAAGTAAAGTCGCGTCGGATAAGAGCGTCCTTGTGAATATCGCCGGACTTCGTGTGAATTTGGTGAAAAACAGTTCTAATTCGACGTCACTTTGCCTTTGGCTGAATCCAAGAAAGATCACCATGTCGTCGATTGATGCGCGTCTTGCGGAACTCGGGTACGTCCTCCCCGAGGTGACAACGCCCAAGGGTAACTACAAGCTTGCGGTGCGCTCGGGCAACCAGATCTTCACGGCGGGCCACATCCCGACGAACGCCAATGGCGAGCTCATCACGGGCAAGGTCGGCCAGGACGTCACGATCGAAGCTGCGTACGAGGCGGCGCACTTTGTGGCGCTCTCGCTTCTCGCGACGATCAAGGCCGAACTCGGCGGCGACCTGAGCAAGGTCAAGCGCATCGTCAAGACGATGGGCTTTGTCAACTGCGTCGATGGCTTTGCGAACCAGGCCTCGGTCATCAACGGCTGCTCCGATACGTTTGCCAAGGTCTTTGGCGACCACGGCGTCGGCGCCCGCTCGGCTGTCGGAACGAACGCGCTCCCGCTCAACGTCCCCGTCGAGATTGAGATAATTGTCGAGATCGAGGCGTAAGCACACGCATCAATGCACTTTGCTGTCTCTTTGTATTCGCGAGCGTATTGCCTTCCATTGTCATGCTGGCCACAGGAATGATCCGACCCACCGTGCACCATCATGGCGCATGCACCGCTCCGCCTTGGGTGAGGCCTACGTAACATGATCGCCTAAGTACTGGAGAGTTGCTCTCAAGGACGCATATACTAGAGCTGCTAGGCGTAGCCGCAAGCGTAGCCTCCCAATAGACAACCGCTCGAGCAAGCTTGTATCTTGGAAGCATACGCCTGTCGCGATCTTCTCGCAGTGTTTGAAGCGAGCCCGCAGCTCGAGCATCTGGTGCGCCCTCTGCCTCGCCGTTTGAAGGACCCCCTACCGTGCCTTGGGACCTCCATACATTGGAAATTCAATACGTTTAATACAAATCTAAAGCTATTTGAATGTTTTGAATCTCGAATCGGCATCTATGTTCTTTATTTTATTAGTAGGACCCCCACAGGTTTCGAAGCTTCCACTCGTGCCAAAGACTTTTCATTGCGATGCACCCGGAAGGACCTGGCCCGATGGACGAGCTGGACCGCGAGCTGGAGACGCTGCAGCACAAGGCCATGAGCGATGGCTCGGACGAAGAACTCCTCACGGACGTCGGCTTCATGTTTGACGACTGCCTTGAAAAGGTCACGTGCGAGTTTGCGTATGGTACGAGCTCCAGTGGCGCGCCGCGCGTCAGCGTCATGCTGAGCTACGTGCAGGATAACCCGGGCTTTGTGCAGTCGGGACACTACGTGTGGCCTGCTGCGCCCGCGCTTTGCGAGTACATGGTGACGAACTTTGAGTCGCTGCCGCGCGGCAACGTGGTTGAGCTTGGCGCCGGCTGCGGCCTCGCGGGCCTCGTCTTTGCCCAGCTGGACCCGGCGTCGCGCATCATCTTTACGGACCACGACCCGGGCGTCCTCAAGACGATCGAGCACAACGTGACGATGCAGACGCACCGCGCGCAAGCCACGTGCCATACCCAGAGTCTGCGATGGGGGCCGGAAGGCGCCAACGAGATTGAGGCCATCGAGCGCGTCCAGAGCGGACAGCGCGCGACCGATCTCATTGTCGGTACGGACGTCATCTACGCGCGAGAGATTGTGGGTCTGCTCTTCTGGACCATCGACCGACTTTTGGCGAGCAGCGGCCTCTTCCTCATGTGCTCAAGCTTTTGCTACGACGATGAGACCGAAGCCGAGATCGATTTCATGTGCACACAGTACAAGCTTACGCGCCGAATCATCTCGTGCGCGCTCCCGACTGGCACGCGCATCCAAATCTTCACGCGTCAATAGATTTAAACCTTGTCAAATTGATGTACAGCCACTGCAATTCAAGTCGGTTAGTGCGCAAACTGGTACAATTTGTGCTCTTGGATGTACGCAAGCACTTGGGGGAAGAGGAGCCGACGGAGCTCGTCATCCGACGTCGCACTGCGCGCTTGCGTCGAGGACGAGTCGTCTAGGATCGGGACGTGCACGTACGAGACGCGATCGCTCGTTGGCGAGCGCAGCGCGATACCTTCGCGGGCAATCACCACGATACGGACGGCGTCGAGGAGGCGCAGGCCTCCTTTCCACTTGCCCTGGATAAGGTCGTTGTACGTGTCGGCGCCAAGCAACAGCGAGAATTCAACGTCTGGGTGCTGCGCCTGCAAATGGGTCACAATGTCGATCGACCCAATGCGGATCGAACTCGGATCCACGCTCGTGTCTTGGAGCGCGAGGTCCCACACGTCCTTCTCCGTTTCCTTGACGCATGCCTTGTGGGCTAGTGAGATGTGAGAGTTTTGCAATCATAGAGGCTGTGTACGCTGGCTCAGCGACTGGAATGCGAGGCGAAGCAGGTTGAGGCGGTGCTCGAACGGCGCGAGGTTGCGCTTGCTGCTGTAGATGTGCTGGTACACGGGTAGCACCCACACTTGGTCGAACTGCGACGAGAAGAACTCGACGATGCCCGTGTGGCCGCCCATGCCGCAGGGTGGGTTGGCCGACGTCCCGTACAAGAGCACTCGCATATTGCCACCTTGTCGCCTTGTTGAAAATGCAAGCAACGAAAATGGCGGCAGCCTCAACCGGATAATCGAGGGTGTACGGATACTCAAAGTCCACACCGCTGAACATACACTATTCACTAAACATATGATATAGTGTATGACAAGTGTCAAAAGTTGTGAAATAGAGTAGCACACAGTATTTCCGGTTATTCAAAACTTGCATTTCGGCGGCAAAGGACATGGCGAGCGCCAAGCTGCGACGGGTGTTCCTCCCGACGCTGGACCGGCGCGTGGCCCGCGCGAGCATGCAGATCTATAGCGCGACTTCCATGACCGATGTGTACCTCAGCCGCGCCGACATTGGAGAGCAGTGGATCGTCGTCTCCAACCCCGGCACATATGACATTGACCTCTCGGGCTACACGCTCGCCAACGAGAATGGCAGTCGCATCTTCCGCTTCCCGCGCCACTACATCATCTTTGCCGGCGAAGAGACTACCGTGTGGTGCACGCCCGGCGCGACGGCCTTTAACCCACGCGCTCTCCGAGAGCCGTACCTGCTCTGGACACAGCCCAACGGGTCCTTGGCCGACGCGCCCTTTTTCAACCAAAACGCCGCACTGCACGACGTCGTGCTCCTAGACCCTTACTTGTCAGAAGTCGCGTCGCTGCAGATCACAGCGTCCGGGCACAAGACGTTCCGCGTCCGGCAATGTCGCGCGCCGGCGAACGGCGCCTACGTCTTTGCCCGCTACCGCAACGTCTCGTCGGATGCGTCGTCCGTGGCCCACATCATCGCTGTCGCTATGACCCCCGTGGTACTATTATCGTTCTCTGGCAATCCATAGCTCACCCGATGCATTTGCTTGTATTAGTTGGAGATGGCGCGCCTCTGGTTCCTCATGACGCTGCTCCTACAAGTGCACTGGGTCCCCGCCTCGACGGAGCCACACCTGCTTGTGTACGCCTTTGTGTGTGATATTGCAGCCCGCGTTGCGAGTCTCTTTCTCCAGCATGCCTCGCTTGCCTCGTTCCTTGCGCAGACGTCGATGGGCATCGACCAGCTGCACGTCGTCGTCGTCTACCTCGCCTTGTCGACTGTGTACCCCGCAATACCAATCTTCCGCACGCTCATGACGGCCGAGCTCACGGCCAACTTTGTGGGTCTTCTCGGCGCGGACCGCGTCGCGTACCAGTCGCGCTGGCACCCGATGCACATGATGCTCGAGGGTGCGATTTACATCCACCCACACATCTTTGCGGCATGCTATCTCGCCAAGGAAGGTCTGGTATATATGCTATTCCTCAAGGCGACACTGCCATCAACGAGCGCTGCCATGACCGCGCTCATGTATCTCTGCGTACCGCTCTTCGCCGTGAGTACCGCCATCTCGATCGCGCGAGGTGCCACAGTGGCTCTACACCTGGCCGACTTGTCCCTAGCTCGTCTGCGGTACGGTCCGCCATGAGGGCGGCGTCGCGGGCTGCACGGGGCATTCCATGTCAAACCAGATAAGAAACACCTCGCTTTCGGTCGCAAGGTCATCGTATTACAAGTATAAAGGCGGGGTATGGCCGCGGTAGGAAGGCGCCTAGAAGGCGCTGCCTTCAGGGTGCTGGGGAAGGCGCTTGTTGGCAGGCGACGCCATTTCGTTGCGCAGAGAGACCAAGACTTGCTCGATGCCCGAGTTGCGGTTCCACGACGCCAGCACACCTACATGCAGTACCGTGAGCGTGGAGATACCGCGAGCGCGTGTGTCTCTACCGATACGACGGGGGTCCACGCGGCCGTTGGACTGGTCAACGCACGACATGTTGATGCGGCTCGTAAAATAGACGTCCGGCGGCTGGTTCGGGTAGTGCTCGCCGCAGTGGATCTTCAAGCTGTAAATACGCCCATCATGGCACGTCTAGTGCAAGCGTGAGGCCGGGGACGAGTGGCGAGACGATGCGTACGCCGGCAGGGCCAAGAATTGTGCCGATCCAGCTCGTGAGGAAGATGTCGTCCGCCTGCTCGAGGCCGTAGCTGATGCTCATGTCGCCGTGGCCCTTCTCGGCGCTCTCGAGCTCCTCCAAGAGCTTAAAGTTGCGCGGAACTAGGGTGCATGGCGTTAGCATCGTCGGGGGAAGCATGGCCGACGGCCTCGGCGCAGTCCGTCGGCGCGGGCAACGTACTGATCACGACCTCGGCTCCAGACTTCGCCATCATCTTCCTGACGTCGCAAATTCGGCTTGTGGCGTTTTTTTCTTTGGCGAAGCTGGGGTGTTTTTAATCACACAATCGGACACGACGATTGGCTATCACATTGGCTTTTTAGCCAATCCATGGAGTTTCCAAAAAGCGCATTCTCTGCAGGCGCGCTTCAGACTCAATAACGGGCCTGTGTCTCCCCATTAGAAGAGTCTCCGCAGCCCACTTATATGACCAAGCTTTCAATTCGTTTGATCGTCGACTGCACTTCTTTACGCAGTGTGGACCGCGTTGTTGTTTTGACACGACCAGCTCCTAAAATTGGCTCTCTGGCCACGAGCGCCCCGCGGTTGCGCAAGTGACGGCGAGAGTGGGGCGCTGGGAATATCCCTTATATACGCTCACCTTGCGACGTACTAGTATAGAACTAAAGCAAGGCCAAGAAGCCCCAGTGAGCAGCTCATTTATGTTGGTAACCATGCTGAATCTCGTTGCCTTTGCATACCTTGTTCGACCGATTGATGCTGATCAGAGCTGACCGCGCTTGGTACGGCAGCCGTGGTTATTCTATCGCTGTCGAAGAACGTTCTCCATGGTTGCGGGACCCACCCATACCCCAGAACTTCATTACTGTGATGCAGCCGAGTTCTTGCGCTACACGTCGGATGGATGCCCAGCTGCCACCGTTGTCTCCCGCTCCCGCACAGCGTCCCTTACCGTGTCCACGAATGTAGTCGCCGTCGATGGAGTTCATGGCGCCCGTTGCGCGATACGCTATGCTTTAGCTACGTTTGTTGGATCCTGCAACCGGATGGCTCGGCTTGACTTGGTGCTGGGAACAGACGTGAAACCCGGATTACCGCCAAAGATCGCCATCGGTTCACTCTGTAGACTGACGAGCATCGCTGCCATCGCCAACGTCATTGCGATCAGAGACGCATGGTGGACGCAATCCCGACATGTAGACATCCACAGGGCCGGACGAGACTCTCCAGTACATGTTCGTCATTGACAAGCTTCCGCGCAACGGACTCGAGATCAATCACGCCCTTCCACGTGCACTCATTACCGACGAGAACGTCAAACTACTAGTAGTGACCAAGATCAAGACTACCCCAAGGGCTTTTGCCTCGTGCATGATAGCCGGGCTGCGAGACGATAACAACACGGTAAGCGTCAAGAAGGAGACTGTTTCAGCAACCGACTGCGCCGAGCTAAAGTTGATGACGTGCATGTTGATGTGCGGCTTGGAAGGACACTCTTCGTTGCTATCTTTATGGACCTCGCATCAATAACGCCAGCAACCCTTACACTTTGCGCCTGATTGCATCGGCGGTGCGAACGGCTGGCAAACACTGGCACATCTGCCGAGCATTCGGCCAGACCCACACGCTGGACGACATTGTGATGCAGCTTGCAACAACTTGCTCTCAGCTGGTGAATATGTTGCCGCTTCGCCCTGCAACGGTCTGTGCACCGATGGGACCGATGGGCGAGCATTGCGCGAAGCTCGACCTTCGGGCTTTCCGTCGTGCTAACGTTGTCGTTTGGTGAGTTATCGGCAATATTGTGTCAAGGGTTTCCCGCCATGCTACATCGTCTTCGACCGCCCGCTCGCCTTCTCCCTCCCGCTATGGATACATTCGAGGGCTTTTTGGCCAATCAAACGCGTCTGCACTGGACAAATTCGATAGAATGTCGGTCGTTTGATGGTATTTTAATACTTTCGTCGGCCCTCGTGGCAAATAATTGAGAGGTGATCGGACAATCTTACTTAGTATTTGTATGTGGAGAATAAAAATGTGCGGCGGATTGTAACTGGCTAGGACGATCAGAAACACGGAACGAATATTAATTTTTCCAGTTGGCGATTTTTGACGATAGCCGGAAGCAGCATCATGATGCCAATGGAGACGGCGACGACGCACCCTGCCTCGACCAAGGCCGCGGTGAGCACGACGGTCATGACGGCCGCCGAGTACGGCAAGCTGCCGCCTCTGAACCCTGACGACCTCAAGGCGCCGGCGCCGCCGCCGAGCGCAGCGGCCAAGGTCACGAACTCGGACGACTCGATGTCGCTCGGCGAGGTCTGGGAAGAGATCAAGGGCAAGCTCTCGGAGGTTGTCATGGGCTCGTCGGTCTCGGGCATCCTCAGCGTCATCCGCATCTTCAACCTCGTGCTTGCGGGCCTCATGATCACGATCTGCATCCTCGAGATGATCAACAGCCCCAACTTTTCGAGCGCCGTCAGCAACATCATGGCTGTCATCTACACCATGTACGTCCGCATGGCCCATGCAAGTGACTCATGTGCGCTTGTGTAGCATGTTTGCGCTCATCTTGGTCGCCTACGAGACGCGTACGCAGTCGTTTGACGAGTTCCTACGTGCCAACTATGGCTTTATGTACAACCCGTGGGGCCGCTGCCTGTTCTTGGCCATGATCTCGATCTTCCCGTTTGGCATGTTTAGCCCCTACGGCTGGATGGTCTCGGTCGCGGGCTTCATCAACGCCTACTTCAACTACTTTGTCATCACGCAGGTGTGACCATCGAGAGCTCTCTACGTCGTCTCACATCTTATTTGTAGCACCCCTCTTTCACGCGTGGTGTCCCGGACTACGTCCCGCCCTCGGTTGACACGACGGTCTAGGCCCCGGGCTTGAACATTCAAAGGCGCGCTCTCGAGCGCCGCCAAATATCATATTGATTCATTTCCGCTGGATCATTCTTCTTGCGTTGTCCATTACGTTGGTCCCACCCGTAGCCTCCACTGGTTTGCTGGCGTACACACGTGATTATTGACAAAAGACCACGACAAAGTACGTGCGACGATTGATCCCAGCAGAGCCATTCTGCGTGGTGGTTGGCCATGGCCATGCAGAGGCTGCTGGTTGTGCAGTTGTGAGACTTGCCAAGCTTCCGATACGCCACGCTAAGAGCTGCAGTACCTCTCGACAACACTTTCCACGGTCTACCTCGGCCGCTAGAGGTGTTGCGGTATGCTAATCGCTCGATGGGGCTGCTCGGCTCAATTGCATCGTGGTTGAGCCAGTCTAGGTTGCGTGGAAATAGCCATCCGGATACAGAATTCGAAATTCGAAGGGTATCTTCAAGTCGGCCATTCGTCAAGTGCAATCATGAAGACAACAGCGAAGCGCGCGCGGGCATCGCTCGAAGAGCTCGTCAACTACTTTTTTGGGCTCAAGAGCCGCGTGTGCGACGTTCCGATCTCGGTCGACTTTATCATTTGGCGCCAGAACCTCTCGCTCCTCTCGATGCAGTCGGTCTTGCTCAATGGCATGGTACCGCAATTGCTGCTTGTCTATCGGCATCTTAGTCGTCTTATAGCTCTACCACGAGTACCGGTTTTCGTTCTTCGTCTTTGCGTCCATTTGGGTCGGTCGGTCGTTCCACAACGCGCAGTACAACAAAAAGTTTGGGCCGCGCGGGATCCTCTCGCATTTGGAGAAGCCGATCAGCTTTCTCAAGATGAACTTTCTCGTGAGCGTCATGCTCATCACGTCGTTCGTCTGCCTCTGGCGGTCCACGCACGACATGGCCAACCTTGCGCTCACGGTCTTCCTTCCGTACGACGTTATTCGCCTTGTCTATCGAGACGCGATATGAAATGTGCCGTGTAGGTGCGCGTGCAGCGTTGCGCTCGATCGCTGGCGCCTGGACCCGCGCTACAAGACGCCTATTGCGCTCCTGTACAGTCTTGAGAGTGCATATTTCGTCTCGGTGGCGACGCTCGTCTTGGAGCGGGTACGCCTCGCATTCCTTCAAGCCTCTCCTAATCAATGCTGCTAGAACCCATACCTAATCTACGACGCGCCATCGACGCGCGCGGTCATGTACACAGCGGTCTTCAACAACGTCATGGGCTTCCTCGCTCGGTACGATAGATCGTCGGTTGTGACCTGTGTGCAAAGCCAACTGCCAACTAGGTATTTTATCGAGCACTATACGATTCGGCAAATTCAAGCTCAAGAGCTCCACGGCTGGAAGCAGCTCCATGATGCAGACGATGCACCCGAAGCTCCGGCGGCATGGAGTCCAGGAACACTGTACAAGGAGTCGGCGGTTGTGGCCCATGGCGGCAAGCACTGGATGGCTGTCGGACGGCTGCACGGCAACATGGCCGAGCCGGGGTCGTGGCGCAACCGATGGCATGTGCTTCTGTGGCTCAAACCATTCCGAGTGCTGACGCTGCTCATGTTTTTGCAAATTTGCCACGTTGTTGGGACCGCCATCTACGCACTTTGCAGCGACTCGTGGGTCATCATGGGGTGCGAACGCGTCGGCTACGTTCCTTAGCTGACTTGTCGTGTGGATGTGTAGGGGCATGGTGTTTGTGAACGCCGACTACATGCAGCTACTCCACTCGATCCGATTTGCTGTGCTCGGAAAGACAGCACGCAACGTCATGATGACGCGTCAGACGACGGCGGCGTTGCCCGCGACGCTGCAGACAGTCATCGATCCGAACGTGATTGCCAATCAAACGATTAGCCACAGCGGTCTTCCCGCCCTTTAAGAAAACACGCATTTTCATGTTACATCTATACCTATCTTGATATGAGACGGCGTCGTGCTACGCTCCGCTGCGCTCCTGCGCAGCAAGATGGTCGGCCTTGACTTGGGCGCAGCAGGCCTTGTAGGCGTCCAGCTCCAACTTGCAGCGCTTCTCCTGGTAGTCGTTGCGCGCGAGACACCACTGGATCGCACACGCCTTCTTCTGGCACGAGGCTTGGAAGAGCGCGTCCCAGTTGACAGTAGAATCGCCTTGCGTTCCCTTGTGCACCTCGTCCATCTTCGCGAAATTGCACTTCCTCGGAAATTCAATGTAGCATATCTATAGGTTTGCACAGGTTTTTCTTGTGTCGATTGCGATTGGCCGAGAGGTGGCGGCGGTTTCAGCGACCTTTCGAGACCAGCGCAGCGTGAAAGTCACTTGCTCGGATACAACGAGTCAATGCTAACGCGAGCTATTGTGCCCTTGATGCAAGTTTCAAGCATGCCCGTCGTGCAGCGGAGCGTCTGGTGCAGCTACTCCACAAGTGTATTAGGTTGCGTCCGCGTAGTTAGTCGACTTGATCGAGGCATCAAGTTCTCATTGCACCAGCTGCAAACATATTGAAGGCGCCATCGAGGGACCAGTACGCTGAATCGACTAGATGTTGACATTATCGCTAGACTCTGAACTTGATGCATTGCGGAAACGCTTGACATACTTGGCCTTGAGCTGCCCCAAAATGTTGGCGTCTTCGACGGTGTGCGTCTGAAGCGCCAATTGGAGCAGCATGTAGTCGGCGAAAAGATCGTTATGCACATTGTGCGCACGAGCGAGGTTCTCCACGGCGCGCATTAAGGACGGCTCAGTGTCCGCCTTGCGCTTGTCTCGCTTGGGCATCTCGGTTGCTACGTCCTCTTGATCGTCGCTGCTTTCGTCGTCGTCTCGCTCGTTGTTTGCGTCGGCTTGCTCACGATTCGCGTCACTGCTCTCTTGTCCGGATGGGAGCTTGCTGTGACTTGCCTTGCCGTAGCGCCATTTCCGGCATCCACGCAGCGCCTGCCACGTCTTTTCGTACAGGAACGCCTCGTGCTCGAGCGACACGTGCAACGCGTGCGCGTCCTGGATGCACTCGTCGTCGGTCTTGCGCTCGGCGCAGCGACTTTGCACTTGGTCGACGCAGTCGGCAAACTTGTGCGATAGCCGGTTGAGGATGCTCCAGCGGTTCTTGATGGCTTGCTGCGTGCGCGCGCTGGAGCCTCCTGCAGTCCAATGCGCGTGTACATTGGCCCAAAAAGTGTCGTTCGACGCGTCTTCGCCCTTGACAGAGTCGTCTTCGGTGACGTGGACCCACGACCGAGCCAGTTGAACGTCCTCGGCCGACGACCACTTTGTTCCTTTGCCCATGGCGCTTTAACAACTGGTCGCCAAGCACAGCCGAATAGAAACGTACGACGCGGAATAGTGTGCAATTCGATAAATAGAGTTCTGAGTTAGAAACGCGTGCCGTGAAATACTGTGTGGCGTTGCCAATGGACGCATCGACGAGACAAACGAGTCGAGTATTGGTGCGTTCAAGGACGGCAGTCCAAGTACTACGTTTAGTGGGTTTAAAAAGCTGGTCGCGTGCTCTGCGTTTAGCTATGGTCTTCCACCGTGTACGACGTCAAGCTAAAGACCGTCGGCCCGGTGGCGTTGATCTTGTGCTCGGGCTGGTGCAGCACGATCGCATTGACATGTCCCGCGTCTTGCTTCTGTAATGACAGCCAACAACGTGATGAGAAACCTCCTGGTGTGCATACCATTGACGTACGTGGACTTTGGACGAGGACACGACGCAGCCACACTCGACGACCTCGGCGCCGAGCTGTTGCATGAGCTGGCACGTGACGAGCAGCGTGTTGCCCTATTCGTAGCGCAAAAAAGCTGGTGATGTAGACGGCGCCGGAGCAAGCAGTACCGTCGCGACAAGATCATCGATGAGGATGACGCGGCTGCCCTTGGGGATCGCGTCGTCGTGCACTTCAAAGCGACCATGGTAAAAGCCCGACGTGTAGTCGATGCCAATGACGTGGCCTGGGAGCTTGCGCGCGCGGCGAACCGGCACGAAGGCGCCTACAAACATGCTGCTTCAGGTCCTCGAAGGGCGATTCGAAACCATACACTTCAACGCGAGCGCGAGCGGCGCGCCAAAGATAAAGCCGCGCGACTCGCAGCTTACAACGTGCGTGATACCCTTGTCCTTGTAGCGCTGGAGAAAGGCGTCGATCGTGATTTGGAAGGCTTCGGGGTCGAGTACGAGCGTCGTCACGTCCCTAGCCATCGCCTGAGCCTCGGCGCCGGGTGCCAGTAGTACCAGAAGTCTGAGCCCGGCTTGGGAAAGTCTGGGATTGTGCGGATCTTGGTCTTGAGGTAGTTGGAGAGCGCTTCGGGGTCGGCGAGCAGCGCGGCCGTCATGGTGCAGCGTTGGTGCCAAAGCAAAAATCTAAGAACTCCATAAATACATACCCGAGTAAATATCCAAAGATACAGGTTTGCCGTTTCAGTCGTGATGATGCTTGTCCACGCAGCACACGACAGCACAAGACAGCACGAGACTGCTGTCGAGCTCCTGCAGCAGCAGCGCTAGAGACAACGTGGCGCTCGCAGCAGCCATGAGATCCGACGCCAGCTCGAATTACAAGCCTTCGACGCTCGGCGCGTCCGTGAGTCGTATCCGGATGCGATCTTTTGTCGAAGGGTGCGAGTCGCACTTTCTATTCAACGAGTCGGATGGGCATCGGTGACATCTCGGGCCGCGTCGCGCTCGTCACGGGCATCACAGGTCAAGACGGGAGCTACCTTGCGGAGCTGCTCCTCTCCAAGGGCTACATTGTCCACGGGCTCATCCGGCGCAGCAGCTCGTTCAACACTGGCCGCATCGACCATTTGTACAAGGACCCCCACCTTCAGGACGTCCGGCTCTTCTTGCATTACGGTGATTTGGCCGACGCCGGCAATCTCTGCGCGATTGTAGCGCGCATCCAGCCCCACGAGGTGTACAACCTCGGTGCCATGTCGCACGTCCGCGTCTCGTTCGAGATGCCAGAGTACACGGCCGACGTCGACGGCCTTGGCACGCTCCGACTTCTCAACGCAATTCGATCGTGTGGCCGCACCGACACGCGGTAAGCAGCTTATCCTTCTTAGGTAGCTCATTATCGGGTAGCTTTTACCAAGCGTCGACGTCCGAGCTGTATGGCAAGGTGGTCTCGACGCCGCAAAGCGAAGCGACGCCGTTCTACCCGCGGTCCCCGTACGCGATTGCCAAGCAGTTTGCCTACTGGACCGTAGTCAACTACCGCGAGGCGTATGGGCTCTTTGGCGTCAACGGCATCCTCTTCAACCACGAGAGCCCGCGGCGCGGGCCGACCTTTGTCACCCGCAAGGTATGCATCGCTCGTCCTCGCATTGTTGAATGCGAGTCCGTAGATCACGCGGGGCGTCGCACGCATCGCTGCAGGGCTCGAGTCTTGCTTGTACATGGGCAACCTCGACGCGCGCCGCGACTGGGGCCACGCGCGGGACTACGTTGTCTGCATGTGGCGCATGCTCCAAGCCAATGTGCCCGAGGTATTCATCCGTGAATCTACGTAGCATTCTGAACGTACTAGTGTAGGACTATGTCGTCGCGACGGGCGAGTGCCACAGCGTGCGCGAGTTTATCGAGCTTGCGTTTGCCCACGTGAGTTTGCCGCTTACGTGGCGCGGCGAGCGCGGCAGCATCAACGAGGTCGGCGTCCTCGTCAACGCCCCCGGCACCGTCGTCGTGCAAATCGATCCCAAGTACTTTCGTCCCACCGAAGTCGACTTGCTCTGCGGCGACGCCACGAAGGCGCGGAATCGCCTCGGGTGGACTCCAAGCATCAAATTTCCCGACCTCGTGCGCGAGATGGTCGACGCCGACGTAGCGCTCCTCCAGTCCTCGTCGACGTCATTTTAACGACTTTTGCTTCTCAATTGCATTCGACTTCAGCTGCGAAATAAGTCGAACGCGAAGGACAGGAAGGCAGCCCAGGCGCGATTAACTTCAGCGAAGTACACAACTCCTCGTTTGACACCACGTCATCAGGGTTGCCACAAAACGGGAGAATTTTCTTGAGCATACAATAGTCGTATCAAAGCAAATGCATGACGACGTAGGCGCCGACGAGGTACCCAGCGTCCGACAAGCCAGCCACCAAAAGAGTCACGGTTTCGGAGTAGCCGCAGTCGCCGATTTGAACGATCTTGGCGTCGCGGAGGTGCTCGCGCATGTAGGCCTTGAGCGGCCGGATCAACTGGGCGCACAAAGGCTCTTCTTCGTCGAGATTACCAAGCTTTTCGCACACATCTTCGTATTCGTGGTTGTAGACGCCTTCGAACCAATCGTGCGTCGAGCACGTGCCGGGATGGATGCCGAACATCGTGCAAAATCGTTTCCAGTCGCTGTCCCAACTCATGCATCCCCCTTCGTAATTGTCGTCTTCTTGCAGCGTCGCCAAACGCTGCGGCAAGGTACAGAGGCGACAGCACCCAGCGTCGTCAATGTTGAGCCAATGGGCCATAAGACTGTTGCCGAGATCTATGGAATCGACACATGAGTCGCCCAAACTACAGTTGTGTCGGTCGTACGCGTGTTGTTTCGCGAGTAGACGACGTTGTCGTCGTCGCCAAAGATAGCGGCCACCTCCGATCGCCCCCACGTCGTCTTGTCAATGAGCAGGTCGTGCTGGAAGAGAACCGGCTGGAAATAATGGTACTTCTGGCCGGAGAGCCGGCTGGTATACTCCCCAAACTCGGGCTTGAGGCGCGCAAGCCATGCCCCGATGCGATTGCGGTGTCGCAGTGCCGTGTATAGCGCGCGAGAGTCGACGTTGCTGGCCATGGCCGCCGCCACCAAGTGCTCGCGGTACTGCAGATATATCTCGTCGTCGTCATCTGGCACGGGCAGCGGCCCGAGGTACCCGTTGTTCACGAGGCGTTTATGCAGCGACGCCACAATGTACTTTTCGTCGGAGCGCGCACAATTGCTGAGGCGGCGCCAGTCTTCATCGACCGTGTCTAGATCCAGGACCTCGTACAAGTCGGGGCAGAGGCGCGCGCAGTGGTCCGAGTAGCTCGCAATGAGCTCAAGGAGCGGCGGCGACGTCAAGACTGTCACCGCGACGTCCTCGATGCGGCATACGCGCTTGTTGTTGTGGCTTGCCATGACGTGAACAATGCAACAATGAAGTCGACCAGCGAGGATACTCGAAAGAACAGATGGTGGTGATGATACGTGTGAGTGCTGGTCTTTCTGCTTCGATTATTGTCATAGGAAGAGGACAGCCATCCATTGAGTCTTCATGGCCAGGACTATACAAATGGGTGTCGAGACCATCACCCCCATGGAATGTAATACTCTTGTTTAAACGCAGCTCACTTCCCGCGACGTCGACGCGGCAAATACTGTAGTCCCAGCAATTCATACTCCTTCGCGCTTGCATCTGGGTTGCCCTCGTCGTCTCGGTAGAAATAGTGTAATTACGGGTGCTGTAGGAAGGTTTGCTATACAAAGTCTATGGCCGAAGGACGCCATGGATGTACTTGCCGGCGCCAACCGTCGGCTCCTCGCGTCACGACTTGGCACTCTCTCGTCCTGGAGTGCCGAGCTGACACCTTGCTTTGACGCGCTTGTAGTCGTCCTTCTTGACAAATGAGAGCGCGACGGGGCCCTGGACGCTCTCAAAGATGCGCTTGACCTCGACGAGTTCCTTGTCGTCGGCCGAGAGACCGTTGATGGCCATGAGCACGTCGCCAATGTCAACGCCGCCGCACGCCGCCGCCTGCGACCGCTCGAGCACGCGGTTGACAACGACAACGTGGTCGTCGACGGCAAACTCGAGGCCGAGCGGCGCGTCGCCGTTGAGCTCGAGCTCCTGCAGTACGACGAGCGACTGGACGTACTCGATCGCAATCTCAAGGCACGTGACAAAGTACGCCGTCTCGCCTTGGTTGGCCATCGGCGTGAACGCGACGAGGAGGTCCTTGAGCGTCAAAATATCTTCAATGTGGCACTGCACGACCACATAGATGAACGCCGGAATGAACGCGTCGGCGCTCATGGCGCCTTCGACCAAGTGCTCGGCGGCCGCGACTGCATAAATGGTCTTGCACGCTTGCACGAGCTTGGCGCGCTTGGTATAGGGCAGCGAGCACGCATCGATCTCGTTCATGACAGCGACGGCGGCGGCGTACCCGGATGGCGACACGGCTGTGATGCCGAAGTACACTTGCTTCTTGGCGCGTAAGAGCTCGAGCCGGTCTTGAAGGAGGCGAACGTCCTTCTTCGTCTTTGTCATGAGCGACGTGTACACGATGCGGTGCAAGGGGTAGAACACGCGCTCTTCGACCTGCTCCGAGATGATTTGCGCGATGAGCTCAAAGCTGCCGTCGTCGTGATTGCTGTTGTTGGACGTGCCGTCAATGCCCGCGATCCCCCGGAACTCGTGCATGCGCGTCTGGATCATGTACTCGGTGAGTCCTTCGATAAAGTGCCGGATCGCATCCAAATGCATCGTTTTGGCCGACGTGTCTTTGAGAAATTTGGTGCTAAGATATCACAAATGTCAACATATTGGGAAGCCAAAATTGATGATTCGGCGTACCTCGTGGTGCCTTCGGGTGAGTAGGGCGAAATGAGAATGAGCTGGGCCTCGCGTGCAATCTCGCGCGCAACGTCCGTCTTGGACTGGGGCTCGGCGGCGACAACGTCCGAGTCGTTGTCGCTCATGCTGCTGCCAACGGACAGCGTTGGTGACGGCTGGTCGTCGATCGTGTCGCAGTCGAGCACGTCGTGCTGGTTGTTGCTGCTGCTGTGACTGCGCTTGTGCTGGTGGTGGCCGTCAATGGCCGCCGAGAGCGACGCGACCCAGATCATCAGATCTTCTTGCGAGTCGGCAAATACCGTGAGGACGCGGGACCGCTTCGCCGATGAGTTTTCGGTGATGCAAAAGCTGTGGCGTTCGCCCGTCTTGCGCGTGTCAAAAAGCTCTACTGACGTGTTCGGCCCGATGCAAACGCTGCCTTTGGCTTTGACGACGTCGGGGCCTCGGTAATACATCAGCGCGCCGGCCGTCAAGCGAAAGTACCGCCGCTTGACCGACTTCATAAACTGGCCTTGCTTCCGGAGCCAGCCAGCATGCAAAAGCACGTCGTTGTCGTGCGCCGAAGAGGTCGAGGACGAGGCCGGGCGAGCCGCCAGCAAGGTCACGTTGCTGCAGTCTGCGAGCTTGCGGAGCCAGAGGTCGCGGTCGGCGTCGCAGGACGTGTACAGTAGCATCTCGTACGAGCCCTGGCGCAGTGCGAACCCGTGGTTCGCGAGCTCACACGCCGACGTGGGTTTGCGCAAGTCGAATTTGCCAAGGACGTTGGCCGGCGCCGATTGGTGCGAGTCATGGTACACGAGCTCGTGGCCGACAAGGCAGAAGAGACGGCGCTTGAAGCTCCAGTTGCGATGGCCGCGCTTGATGAGCCACCCAGAGTGATGCACGATCGGCTTGTACTCTTCTTTGATGACGGGCGCGGGCGGCGCCGTCGTTGACGTCGCCGGAATCGAAAGAAGCGTGTGGGCGGCGTCGCTCAAGTCATCGTCGTCGTCGTCATCATCGAGGTCGTGGGGCTGTTGCCACTCGGTCAGCGTCACGCGCTCCGTGTCGAGATGGCGCACAGACGCTTGCCGCTTGATGTCCAGTTTCTCTTGTAAGTGGATCGCGCGGAGGCTCGCCGTGCGCACCGACTCGACCGTGCGCTTCTTCCACTGGATGAGGTCCCTATCATGCGCATGAGCAGGGTGGCCAAGGAAGAAGAGCCTACGCGTCGATGCTGGCAAAGCGCACGACTTGGCGAAAGGAGCGCGAGCTCGCAATGTCGAGCAGCGTCCGGCGCTGGCGCTCGCTGTTGCTGCGGCGTCGCTGGAGGTTGAAGATGGCGTCGAGCGGGTCGCTGGTCGGTGGCGGCTCGAGGAGCGCGTCCATGGGCACGGAAGGCAGCGACGTCATGGAGAGGACCAACCGTGTCACGGGCGCGACGGTTGCCACTGTATAAAATGGACCAAAAGCCAGCCGACACTTCCCAAACGCATCCGGATAATGTATCCGACATTCAAAATGGCTGCGATTGGTGGAATTCAACCAATGAGCGGCGGAGCATCGTTCATGAGCTGGCAGTCCCATAAACCAGCGCGCTCCTGTCTCATGCGTCTCGGTGGCCACTCGGATTGACGTGAATCCATGGTGGATAAACTTTTTGAATTCGTTTTTACTTTTTTTAAGAACTAGTTTTAATGGTGACGAACAATTAGCATTAATTGCTTTTGAAGATAATACACCGTCGCTTCCGAGCAATTCCAGCTTGATCCTCACAAGCACGAGTGCTACCTGAGCGTTCTGTTGGTCTTTCACTTCACGAGTTTTTGCCTGACAAGAACAACAAAGAAACTGACACGTCTTTGCGTTGGGCCACTGCATGAGAGAACCGTCAGCTGCGAGGCCTCAACCGTTGAAGTCCATACCATGCACTGGTGCGGTAGGTTTGTGGCGCGATGGTTGGAGATTGACCTTGCCCGCCGGTACGCCGCAAAAGGATACCGTGACCGAAGAGCGCGAGGGAAGTTACAGTGCGCCTGCTCGTGAAGAGGCCTGCACTGTGATTGGTGGCCGAACAGTCATCACGAAGAGTCGCCATGTAGATTCGGTGGCACAAGTCAAATTCGATGAAAGCCCATATCGGACTCCTCTTTGCGGTTGTTGCTACCGCACGATCGGCCTCCAGCGATATCGATGTACGAGCCATCGACACGACGGACAGGACCGATTCGTTGATTTCGCACGCTTCCGCGCGAAATCTGCTTGTTGCCGACAGCGACCCAAAAGCTGCATCCGACAACCCGATGACCAGTGCCAGCGGCCCAAGACCCGCTCATATCATGGACACCGATTTTAGCTTTTTGGGCAACAACGGTGTCGGTGCGCCTGGCTCTCCGAGCAACAACGGCGGCGGTGCATCCGTCAACAACAGCGGCGATGTGTCAGGCAACAACGGCGGCGGTGTGTCAGGCAACAACGGCGGCGGTGCGTCCGTCAACAACGGCGGCGGTGTGTCAGGCAACAACGGCGGCGGTGGGTCAGGCAACAACGGCGGCGGTGTGTCCGTCAACAACGGCGGCGATGTGTCAGGCAACAACGGCGGCGGTGTGTCCGTCTTCAACGACGGCGGTACGCCAGGCAACAACGGCGGCGGTGTGTCAGGCTCTCCGAGCAACAATGGCGGCGGTGCGTCAGGCAACAACGGTGTCGGTGCGTCAGGCAACAACGGCGGCGGTGTGTCAGGCTCTCCGAGCAGCAACGGCGGCGGTGTGTCAGGCTCTCCGGGCAACAACGGCGGCGGTACGCCAGGCAACAACGGCGGTGGTACGCCAGGCTCTCCGAGCAACAGCGGCGGCGGTGCGTCAGGCAACAACGGTGTCGGTGCGTCAGGCAACAACGGCGGCGGTGTGTCAGGCTCTCCGAGCAGCAACGGCGGTGGTACGCCAGGCTCCCCGAGCATGAAAGATTTGGACGCACCAAGCGTTTCAGGTATCGGCGGTGGATACAAGCCGGTTCATCAAAGCGACGGCGACAGATCTGCTTGGAGACGCGGTGATGCGAACGGTGTCACCGATACGAGAGGTGTCAACCGACCGAGAGGTGTCAACGGCTACAAGGGTGGCCACAAGGGCGTGAAGAATGGCGGCTATCAAAACGCTAATGGGAACAAGTCTGTGATCAAGGAAGCCAACCTAAAAAACTTGAAGTACGGGACCAACAACATTCCCAACGAAGACATTGACCACTGGCACGACAGCGCCGATTCTGCCGCCAACGATCAAGGTGGCTACATTCGCAACGAGAGTTCTCGATTCCGACCGAGCTACTCAGACGCTGACAACGAGAGCGATGACGCGTACCACCATGCTCTTGACAACGATTACGACACCGGCTACGACTCGCATGATAATTGGTGGCACGACCACATCGCCGATTCGAACGATGCTACGCCTTCGTATCCTTCTCGTCCAAGCCCCGGGCATGAGTACCCGAACTTTGAGAACGCGAGCGACGACGTCTATGACCACTTTGCCGACTCGGACGACGAGTGCCCGTTCCAGCCGTGCCACCAACTCGAAACGATCGAGTACGGCAAGTGCGTGTACCGCCAGCTAGCGCCAGGCACCTTGTGCGCCGGCCAGAGCTGCGACAACGGCGGGCCCTGCGACGACGACGAGAAGGACTATTGCGACAGTGACGGCACGTGTGTCAACGGCTACCGTATTGAAACCTATGTTCCTTGCCGCCCTGCAGTGAGTGCGTGCGACGTGCCCGAGTACTGCAACGGCAAGCAAAGCGAGTGTCCCGTCGACAAGTTTTCTCCGCGGACACAAAAGTGCATTGGCCATTCCAACGGTGGCGACTGCGACACGACCGACCACTGCGACGGCCGGGGCCACTGCGTCGACGGCTTTCGCGGCTCGAGTTTCGTCTGCCGTGCGGCGCGCGACGCCTGCGATGCGCCCGAGCACTGCACGGGGCACAGCGGCATGTGCCCTCACAACCGGTTCGCTGACAAGAGCACCGACTGCACCGGCATGGGCAGGTCGTCAAAGGGGCCTTGCGACGCCCGCGATCGCTGCGACGGCAAGGGCAACTGCATCGACCGCTACCACGGCCCCGACCACATCTGCCGCAAACCGCGCGATGAGTGCGACGTGCCCGAGTACTGCACCGGCGACAGCCGGGATTGTCCCGACGACGAGTTTGCCGACACTTCAGTCACTTGCAGTGGCGCCTCGTCCCACGGCGCGTGCGACAGCGTTGACTACTGCGACGGCCACGGCAACTGCATCGACCAGTTCCTCGACAGCGACCACGTCTGCCGCAAGGAACGCGACGTCTGTGACCTCCCCGAGTACTGCACGGGCGTCCACGGCAGCTGTCCCCGCAACGAATTTGCATCCGCAGGCACTGTGTGCACACCGATCGGTGCGTCGTCCAACGGTCCTTGCGATGCCATCGACTACTGCGACGGCCGTGGCACTTGCGTCGACAACTACAACGTTGACACGCTTTGCTACGATCCACGGGGGTTCTGCGAATCAGGGCGCTTCTGCAACGGCGCGTCCGGGGCGTGTCCCGCCGCAGGGTACGGCCACGACTACGTGCTTCTCGCTGACGACGCCAGCATGACCGAAGTCGTCATGCACAACTTTCGCATGTGCTCGGCCAAAGTCGCGGAAGGTCTCGTGTCGGTCGACGGCACCATGCCGAGCCACTCGGTCTTTGTCCTTTTAGCCAGCGTCGCCCTCGTTGCGGTTGTCGTGGCGATCGTTGTCACCAAGGGCAAGCCGATGTCAAGTGCTGGAAACGACGACGGCTACGTCCTCGTTACCGAAAATGTCTAGCCGTGCTCACGGCTCCGTGTCGATGTGAAATTTGTATGACAAACTTACAAACGAAATGAAAGAAAATTGTATTTGCGACGACTCGAGTTGTAGATCTCTTGCTGCTCTCAGGTACCGCATTTTCTTCGTAGAGGACGCGTAAGAGTCTCCAACATGCCAACCAACTTGGTGTAATAGGAGACGAGCCGCTTGTGCTCGAAGTTTGTGCCGAGTACCCTGCAATGACCACGCGATAGTAGGCATAGCTATGGTAATTTCAATCCCATTATTGATTGCAAAACTTCAAGGAGGCACGACAGGGCTCCAACCAATAGCTGGTCATTCCACATGCAATTTAAGGCATTGTTCAGCAATCAACTACAATCACAAACCACTACAATCACAAATCACAAATCACAAACCACTACATGTAATCTTGCATCCCGTGACTACCAGAATCAAACTTGCGTGAACAATCGACCGCGTCTGCGGGCTGTGAGCCTAGGTTCGATCGATGGACTGCGCAATGCACGCACACAATGCCTTGCAGACGGCGCCTCAGCCTACATAGTACCTTCCGGTGCCGAGCAGGTCGCGAATGTTCCAGAGACCATCATTCCGCGAGACTAGCATTCTTTTTGCCAGAAAGTACGACGGCCACAATTGGTTTTGCCTCGCCCGTCAGATGCTACAGCTTTCTTCGACTTTGGCCCGCGTTGCCCGTCGCGTGCCGCCCTCGCACGTGCTCCGCGCCGCCTTCTCTACGAACCCAGACCTCTGGGAGACGATCCAGCGTCGCGACGGTATGGACAGTCTCTCTGACGCGCGCTGCATCATCGAATCGTGCAGGCCGCACCATGTATTTCAACAAGGTGACCAAGGAAGGCACGTTCAAGAACCCGTTTGAGGCGGCGCCATTGGCAGCTCCGGCGTCGACGCCGGCGACAGCGGCCTCGCCTGAAGCGCCGGCCGCGGCGACCGAGGCGACGGACGTCCAGGAAGCCGACGCGTGGGAACCCATCGACTTTACAAAAGCCGCGCGCATCGAAGGCTCCGAGGCCCAAATGTACGACGCTGTATCGATTCGTGTCGTCTCATAGTCTTTGCAGTGTTCATGTAGGTGCCTGGATACCATGTCATAATGGTGGGTCGTGAGATTGCACTTTGGCTATAGATCGACATTGGCCCCAACCAAAAGCTGCGCACGGAGAGCGGTGCGATGATCTACATGACGGACGGCGTCGAGATGGACACGACGACCGCCGGCGGCTTTCGCCAAGGCCTGACGCGGTATGTCATCTCTACACGCAACCACAATCTCAGAACTCAGTCGCTACATAGCATGGTCACGGGCCAAAATTTCTTTGTCACCGAGTACACGTACAAGGGAGCGTCCAAGGGCACAGTTGCGATGGGTACCTCGGTCCCCTCCAAGGTACAAGCCCCTCACTCTGCCCTGTGCTGCAAGCTTGCTGCTTAGATCTTGCACATGCGCCTCGCCAACTTTGGCGGGTCGCTCATTTGCCAGAAAGGCGCGTTTCTCTGCGGCAGCCACACGATTGGCATCGAAATGGTTTTGCTCCAAGCATTTTTGCACCGATCTCAGTGTTGCTATGTTGCATTTGTAGGAGTTTACCAAGAACTTTGGCGCCGGCTTCTTTGGCGGCGAAGGCTTTATCCTCCAGCGCCTCAACGGCCCTGGCGACGCGTTCATTTCGGCCAACGGCGCTCTCATCGAACGCACGCTCGCGCCGGGCGAGGTCCTTCGCATCTCGAGCGGCTGCCTCGTCGCCTTTGAGCCGAGTGTGCACTTTGACATTAGCCGCGTCGGCGGCGTCAAGAACGTGCTCTTCAGCGGCACGGGCCTCTTTGTGACGACACTCACGGGTCCCGGCCGCGTCTACTTGCAAGGGCTTCCGTTCGACCGCATGGTCGGTGAAATCGCGTCGCGCATTCCTGGCGGCGGCGGTGGCCCGATCATCATGCCGATGGGTCTCGGTGGCGGCAGTGGCGCGGCCGATGCGGCCGGTGGTGCCGTGGCCGGTGACGCGGCTGGCGGCGCGATTGCTGGCGACGGCCTTGACACGCCGATTGCGTCGTCGCCGTCGGACGCGTCCATGTTTGGCATGTCGGACGCGCCACCAGCAGACGCCGGGTTCCAAGAAGCGAGCGGTTTTGACGCGCCACCCGAGATGGAAGCGGACCCGAACGAGTTTGTCACGGAAGAGTTCGACGCAGACGCCGCGAGCGACACGGTCGAAGTTGTCACCGACTTTTTCAAGCGCTTCTTTTAAGCGACCGGAAGCTAAAATCGACGATCGAACTAGGTTAACTGCAATGTGCGCACGTATGACAAAGGAACACGTCTCGAACGGTGCTCTCTCCTCATCGAACATTCTCGGAATGGGCAGTGGGGATCGATCCCTGGTCTGGGTTCGACACTCGGTGTGCCTTCTCTTGCTGAATGCGAAGAGCTTCTAGTGGCACACAACTGCGCAACATCCAATACATGTACAAACATCGGGAGTTACTGTAGTATACACCAACTCATGGGACACCCTTGACCAACTCGACTGTGATGAGAGTACCAGGTACAGTACAGCGCATTGTGGAGTGATTCTAGTCAAGTCGCCATGAGCGTCCCACCTAGAACCGTGTTGGCTGCGCTCTTGTATGTTGTACTGGAGCACAATACACGATCGATAGCAACCGGTCGTGCCGACCCACGTACCAGCAGCGATCACGCACGAGATAGGCCCTCCGGTGCGTGCACCAGCTGTTCATGAGTCCCACCTAGCGTCGCAACCACCGGCGTCGTTTCATTGGCCCACCAGAGTCCAATTCGCACAAGTAGTACTCTCATGGCACGGGCTAAACACACGCCACTTAACGAGCCTTCCATTGGCGTCCTTGCCGACAACATGAAATAGAATCAGCTCAACATACCGCATATAAACTACGTGCGCTTTAGGGCGTGTCTTCGTATCATCTTCTAGAGAACCAACACTGCCAATGGCGCTACGAACGCCGCCGACGTTGTATAACGTCACATTTGAAACGCAGTGTTTTTAGACAGATGCGGCAGCCTTGTGGCCACGACAGGGATCTGGGACAAGCCATGTAAGGGAGCTTGAAACCCGGCAAAGGATAACCAAGATTCGTGGCCACGAGCGCCGCTCCTACTTGCACGTATACGATTCTTTTGCGCTGCGCTGGCTATAAGCAAGGGTCGACACCTAACGGCCCGCGGTACCCGCCAGTGCCCGCAGTACCATACAGTAGTACGCGTCCCAACCGCAACGCCTTGTTCGGTCAACCGCCACGATGTGCGCGTCCTCTTAAGTGCGCTTTTGGTTTGTCCGACGTACTTGAGTGAATAAAACCGTACTTGATCGAATAAAACCGCACTTGAGCGAGCTAGCGCAGTTGGAACCAGTGGTCGCGGCGCATGATCATGTAAACACGAATTCGGCACTTTGCACCGAAGTTTCACTTTGCATTTCGGATCCAAGATCACATTTCACACCAAATGAACTCGGAACCTCTCGTGACGCGCAACCTCGACTTTGACGAAGGCCTCGGCCAGGACGGCCGGTCGGCCCTCGACATCTTTGTCAACAAGAACAACGGCGTCGGTGTCACGTACGACGACTTGATCATGATGCCGGGTATGTCCCACACTGCACGTTTGAATGCAATCTCACCTAAGATCTCATAGGGCACATTGACTTTGGCGTCGACGAGGTGACGCTCGAGACCAAGATCTCGCGCAACATCAGCCTCCGCCTCCCGCTTATCTCGTCGCCGATGGACACGGTCACGGAGCACAAGATGGCGATTGCGATGGCGCTCCACGGCGCGATCGGCGTTATCCACTACAACATGACGGTCGAGGAGCAGTGCCACGAAGTGTCGCTTGTCAAGAAGTTCAAGAACGGCTTCATCCTCAACCCGATCTGCCTCGCGCCCACCGACACGCTCGAGAAGGTCGACAGCATCAAGGCCGAGTACGGTTTTGCCGGCATCCCGATCACGGAGAACGGCAAGGTCGGCTCGAAGCTCCTCGGCATGGTCTCGAACCGCGACATTGATTTCATCGAGAACCGCCAGACTCTGCTCAAGGACGTGATGGTCACGGACCTCATCACGGCCCGTGAAGGCACGAAGCTCGCGGAAGCCAACGAGATCTTGAAGGCCAACAAGCTCGGCAAGCTCCCGATCGTCAACGCTAAGGGCGAGCTCGTCTCGCTCATCTCGCGTCGCGATCTTGTCAAGAACCGCGACTTCCCCATGGCATCCAAGGACCAGAACAAGCAGCTCCTTGTCGGTGCCTCGATCGGCACGCGCCCCAACGACCGCGAACGCGCCGCGGCGCTCATCGCCGCCGGCGTCAACCTCCTCGTCATCGACTCGTCGCAGGGCGACTCGATGTTCCAGATTGAGATCCTCCGCCACCTCAAGGCGACTTTCCCGCACGTCGATGTCATTGGCGGCAACGTCGTGACCATGCGCCAGGCCAAGAACCTCATCCTTGCCGGCGCCGACGGCCTCAAGATCGGCATGGGCTCGGGCTCGATCTGCACGACGCAGGAGATCTGCGCCGCCGGCCGCGCTCAGGCTTCGGCCGTCTACAACACGGCGCGCCTCGCGCGCAAGTACGGCGTGCCCGTCATCGCCGACGGCGGCATTGCCAGCTCGGGTCACATCATCAAGGCGCTCTCGGTCGGTGCGTCGGCCGTCATGTGCGGCTCGCTCTTTGCCGGCACGGAGGAGTCGCCCGGCCAGTACTTCTTCCAGGACGGCGTGCGCCTCAAGAAGTACCGTGGCATGGGCTCGGTTGAAGCCCAAGGCCAGGGCTCGGCCAAGCGCTACTTCGGCTCGAACGCCGTCGTCAAGGTCGCGCAGGGTGTGAGCGGCGCCGTCGTCGACAAGGGCTCGCTTAACAAGTATGTTCCGTACTTGCAGCAGGGCATCAAGCACGGCTTCCAGGACCTCGGCGTCAAGACGATTGCGCAGCTCCACGAGTTTCTCTACGCTGGCGAGCTCCGCTTCGAGATGCGCACGCCCGCCGCC